AATATTACTTAATATTAAATAATATTACGTGCTTATGGGATTGACATGTAACATGTTTTTAGTAATTAATGATATATGTAATTAATGATGTAGATAGAGTAATACTTTCAGCACGGAAATATGTAAAACAAACTTAACTTATATGTGACTTTGATCAGTCAGAAAATAATAAGGCTACAACGAGGCCTATTCTTGTAATAGATGCATATACGTACTACAATACATATAAGTGTCATTACGCAGGTATAATCATATCATAAAATAGCTGTGCAACGACATTTACGTATACGCAATCATTTCGTGAATAAGAGCCCAAAGTTCAAGACGATATTCATAAATATTATTGATAGTATATTTAGATTTTATCGTTTCATCAATATTATCTCACAAACATTATGGGAATGATAGAAAAAGCTTAATATAACGTTATTTGCAACGTTATGACACTCCCATTTCAACATTATCACAATCTTCAAATTAGAGTCAAAATATCAACAAAATTTGTTTATAATGATGTTGTATGCAACATTAAATACAACATATTGAAAACAATGCATTTTATTGAATACCGTTGTAATAACATCGTAGTAATGATTTTTTGCTTACTGAGTATATTCCAGAATCCATTTCACGCTACAAATGCTTCAAAGCTATATAGACCAATCATATTCTTTATTTAAAGTCCGACAAAAACCAAGATCGAATATATTGAAGTGCCACTAGACTACATTTTTTGTTGCACCTGCACTCAATATTATATTAGCCTGGAGAAATCATATTTGCTCATTAAACTATTTTTGAAGTCTTTTTACGAATGTACTTAAGTCTATACATACAGAACCGAATTTCGCAATTAAAACCCTAAAAATTTCTAATAAATGAAAATACGGATTCGTGCTGCACTTCAGACCATACACTCGCATCACGCTCGTTACGCCCATATTAGATTACACATTAGAGATTGAATTGAAATTTGATCAATTAATGTAAAGTTCACTAAATTTCACTAAATTTGAATTCAGTTAACTCTGAACTGATTGACCAAATTCAATTCAATCATAATCCCCACTCCATAGTCTGATATGGGCTTTGCTAAAAGCTGATGTGAAATGCGGGCTTCCGGTGAATCTGCTCCACTCTTCTTCTCTGGGACAGCTGCATTCCATTTTTTTTCGTCTGATCTTCACCATTAAAGCATGAGGCCTTATCGTTTTAACTGAACTGGTATTGCATTGGAGTGTCGAGTTCGTTTTCTCTATTCAACGCTAGATTATATATTTGTTTCACTTTAATGATAAAAATGTTATATAATTCGATCAAAACGAACAAACCTATCGTTGGCATTGTAGACGTCGGCCCATCTTTATATCTATATTATAAACAGGCTGCGCCCAAAGTTTGTCGCATATAAGGTACGTTCCACTTAACACTCGCAACGATCGTGAGCATCATTGTATTCTTGTTTCTCTTGGATGGTAAACAAAGGCCGCGTTCAGCAGAACGTTTAGTTTGCAACTATTGGAAATTTCCTGTAGATCTAAAAAAATAATCCAATCTCAGTTCAGAAAACTTCCAACAGTTGCAAATTAAACGTTTTGCTGAACGTGTCCAAAGACAGAACGATGCTCGCAATCGTTGCGATTGTTAAGTGGAACGCACATATGATAGATTATAATAGGTTAAAAGATTTATCAGACGTTCCAAAGCATTCTAGCTACATAGTGACATCGTTAATCTCGTATATTAAAAAATCCTTAAAAATGTTAATAACTTATTGAGGCGTCTAATAATTTTCTCACATTATATAATATGTGTAAACGTTTTAACAAGTTATTAACGCTTGGAAAATCTCTTTAATATACGGAATTAATGATGTCACTAAATAATTAGAATGCTTTGGAACGCCTAGTAGATTCTAATCTATTACATATTTTATAAAACGCCTACCTGATAAGTTCCAAGGCCCAACATCGGCATTTTGTATCCATTAGAGAAAGTGACTGTTGGAATATTAGCCATTACGATCGTCAGCAGGAATGATGTATAAGAATAAAGTTGGCAGGAATAAACTGCGAGAAATACCCTGCTATTTATTATCAAATAGTTTATTATTTCGAGTTACTAAACTATGTGAACGATTTATGTACTCTTAGGACTTCAATATGTTTATTTAAAAATTTAGATTTCTATTTATTAAATTTATATTTTATTTTCTATTAAATTTAGTTTTCTATCTTAAATATTCTGAATTATTATAATAATATATATTTGGATCTTTAAACATGTGCGCACAATGCGTGCTGTTTGTAATGTAATCTAATTATAGCAAATTAATCCAGATTTGATAATTATTTAGTTTAGCTATATCCGCACAAATATCGATGAAATAACGTTTATTCGACGCGTTTTTACACGAAACGAAAAAATCTTGCCGATAAAAGTGTCGCTCTGCTCCGCGAAGTGAGTTATTAATCGTCAAAGTTGACAACTTGGCAAGTTAGGAAACCTATCATACTGATGAAATGTTGCGATATGAGCATGCTTCGTGGCATTAAATCATGATATTAAATAAATATAAGTATTAAATCTTCGCCTTACTAAAGTGTGTGTGATGAGTCTATTTTATACTAAAATGAAAAGAGTGAAAATTAACAAAGGTCCCTACGCAAGGTATGTTAACTAATAATTTACTTATTTAAAATATTATATCTAAATTTATAATTCATTAATTTTTGTATTTATTAGTTTCTATTTAGCAGACATCCCTTGTGTAGAGGTCTATGTTAATCTTCATTGTTTCAATTTTAGTATAAGATAGACTCATCACACATATTTTAGTAAGGTGAAAGATTCCACATTCAAAAACAAATAAAAAACTAAATATATAATTTTTTATATTTAAATCTTGACCTTACTAAAATATGTGTGATGAGTCCATCTTATATTAAAATTGTAATAGTGAAAATTAGCATAGACCCCTACGCAAGGTATTCCTGCTAAATAGAAATTAATATAAAATATAATGGAGTTATTGAAGTTATTGGAGTTATATATAATGGTATTATAAATTCAGATAACAATATTTTAAATAAATAAATTAACAACAACATACCTTGCGTAGGGGCCTTTGCTAATTTTCACTGCTTTTATTTTAGTATAAAACAGACTCATTACACATACTTTAGTAAGGCGAAGATTTAATACTTATATTTAATATTATGATTTAATACCACGGAGATATTTTCTATATTTAAATATATTTTATATTTAAATATTATATATTTAATTTTTATTTTGCTCTTGAAACTGAAATCTTTTGCTTTACTAAAATATGTGTGATGAGTTTATCTTATACTAAAATTGAAACATCGAAGATTAGCATAGACACCTGTGCAAGGTATATTTGCTAAATAAAAACAAATAAATGCACAAATTAATGAATTATAAATTTAGACACAATATTTAAAATAAATAAATTATTAGTTAACTAGTTAAATATAAATATTAATTATTAATTATTAGTTATTAGTTAAATTTAATTATTAGTTAACGTACCTTGCGTAGGGGCCTTTGCTAATTTTCACTCTTTTCATTTTGGTATAAAACAGACTCATCGCACACACTTTAGTAAGGCGAAGATTTAATATTTATATTTATTTAGTATCATGATTTAACACGACAAAGCATGCTCATATCACATTTCATCAGTATGACGGATATGACGGGTTTCCTAACCTGCCAAATCGTCAACTTTGACGATTAATAATTCACTTTGCTGAGCAGAGCGACACTTTTTTCTGCCAGATTCTTTTGTTTCGTGCAAAATCGCGTCGAATAAGCATAATTTCATCGATATTTATGCGGATGTTGCTAAACTAAATAATTACTCCGGATTTTGCTATAAAACGAAAAGGTATGATAGTAAGTAACATTAGGTATTGCATAATAGTCTCGATATTCACAAGCATTGTATAAAAACACGTCAAAATTAACTGTCAAAATTACGAAAATGTGGTGTATCATCTTTCACTTACCGAACAGAACGATATTGATCAAGCGTGAGTTGAAATTTATTGCCAGCTGTAACTCTATGCGTTGTGGCTTAAGAGCGACTGTTTTTCCTATTATACGCACGTACTATCATACTTCACGATACTTTACTATCTGTCTGTATATATCTATATGTAGTAGTAGTATAGTAGTAGTATTTATATATACTTTATCTGACAGAGGTTATATAACCTGATCACTCCCATCCGACTTCGACATATTCACAATTGTTTACAAGAAAAAAATCACTTTAAAACAACCTATAGCGATATTATTTTTTGTTATCAAAATTTAATATTGAGAATTATTAAGAAATATGCAGTGATTAAATATCCAAGCAGAACAGAAAGTCACAGTAATATCAAAATGACAATAAAATAACTTCTGAAGCCATTTTTTATCGTAACAGAATTTTGAGAAAATTATGATCTTAGAACTTACAAATTTAATTCTTTTCAAATAAAGTGTTCAATATATTTAAGTTGCGCGTGTTATCCAAATAATTAAAGTTACGCAAGTAAATTCAGATTAGTCTGCGAGAAATTTTTGATGTCAAGAAGGCAAAAAATTCAACACATCCACAGAACCTGTTTTATCCGATTATTTTGCCAAACTGCCGTTAGATATGTAAAAGAATATACTAACAGGTGTGAACGAATTTACTTTTCTTTTTTCGTCCGAGGGTGGTTGTGAGGGCTCTTTTCAAAAACCGGAGCTCAATCAAGAAAGACCATTTTAATAGGAGCAATTACACGGAATAAATAAAATACATATGCTTCTCTCCAGAGTAGTCCCTCGCTCTATATAAAAACCAGATAAGCCACGAACCGAGTCCCTCCGATCCTCAAGAAAAAAGCAAAAGCAGTCCCTCGCTTTTCTTGATGGCTTGGTTTAAATGATAACGTCTCTTTCTGACCTCCAACGACTATCTTCTCCCGTTTGACTTCGACTCGTCTCTGTCTCTTCTTCTCGCGTATTTATACCAATAACTTCTCCTGTATGCGACCTCTAATATGGCAAAATTTATATAATTTAAACTTTCTCAGTGTTAGGTGCTTACACAGGTAATGCAAGCAGACTGGCGGCAGAAATCGAGTAGATCTTACTGCGTGCAGTTTGGCGGCATGCTCTGCACGGTTTCTGCTGCCAATCTTCTTGGATTGTTTGTCAGGAGGCTCTGTCGTCAAAACACGAGTTGAATGTGTAGACACAGATGACTCTGGTTTTGTTGTGGGATTCTAATAAAATTTACTGCCAATCTGCGATCAATGTGCTTATTGGGTATATACAAATTTTTCATACAAACAATATTCTATTAGTTGTAATTATAAATATCTTGTTTATATATATATA